TTTAAGATACTTTTTTTTATTTAGAATGTTAATAAATTATTGTTTATTTAAAATGATAATGGATTAAACTTTTTTTATTTTTTTTTATTATTATTCTCACTCCATTATTATATCATATAAAACTATGGTAAAGGTATCTCGCTACGTTATTTTCTGCACATGTCAATATTACTTTTCATTACATCATCCTTATATATAATATCTGTACTTCCTCTATATCACTATGTACATGGCTATATATCCTATGAACATATACCCTATGACTATAAACAGGCGAAGAAATAATGGAGTATCGGAAATATAGATAATACAATAATATAGATGACCCATGCAAAAATGTAGTGCATTAGTGTAAATTCATTCACCCTTTATTTCTATCTTAACAATTCATCTGTTGCATAACATGTTAGCATACAAACTCATTTGTTAAAGCTACACCAAAACATAATATATTTTATAGTATATGCCTACGCATAGATATAGTGCATTACACTTACTCAGATGGCTTATGTGAGTATGTAGCACATTTTATCACAGATGGCCCATGCAAAGATGTATCATCGATGGCCTCACAACACAGATGGCCTACACAAAGGATACACTCTCATTATAGTTTACTTCACATCGGAAGCAATAGGTGGGAGTAAAGACAAAGAGCAACAAGAGCAGGCAGTGAAAGAACGAAAGCACTAATTGGATGACAATACGCAAAGTCACATCTAGACATTTTTATCTGGAAATTTCACGATGATTAGTGGACCAAAAGTGTAATTACACAAAAGTGAAAAATATGTTTGTGAAAACCTACCCGATTTATTTAACTATATTAATACTGTAACAAATCTATAGATACCCGGAAAAAATCCCGATTTTCTTCGAAAAGTCAGATGATAACCTCTCAAACGATCTTAAGAGACTACGGGTATTTTGATTAGAAAAACATCTTTTATTAATGGCCGAAAAGACATTGTCAACACCAATTTCTTAATAATCAAGGATTTAGACTTCCGGCCGAAGA